AGTTTTATTGAATGTATTCTTAACTGGTTTTCAAGACTTTGATTTGCAGTTCTCTTGAATATATAGATACACATGTACTAAAATGTTTAATATTAGAATTTTCATGAATAAGTGTGCATATTTGTGTGGATATGTATATATATATATATTTGAATGTATTGGGGTATATAGATAGGTTTTCAGTTGGTCAACACAAGAAATTGCCAATCATTTCACTTATGGCTTTGTTATCACTAAGCTGCATTGTCATCTTCCCAACATATTCCCTCTTCTCCCTGCCATTGTCACTGATCCACTATTTCCACGCTCACTTCCTTTCTATTCAACACTGCACTACTTGCGATTGGATTGGTGTCCAATCTCTAGCTCCCAATGCTCATCCTAGAACCACCCCTAGCCAGGTGTGAACCTCTCATGTTTGTAGTCAGGACCTTACAGAATGGGAGAAACTGAGAAGATCGTATTCGCGCTGGGCATCATTGGTTTACATTTGTAATCCTAGCTATTCAACAAGATTGAGATCTAGAGGATCATGATTCAAAGCCAAAAAATGTCCTCCAGACTCCAGCTCCACGCACCATTTCCATTTTAATCACCTTTATGAACACACACTCAGAAGAATAATTTATTCTTTAAATCTTGGAATAATTTTTTCATCATTCAACAAATTTATTACTAATTTCCATTTTCAGCATCTGGGTGCAGAAGCACTGGTGTACTGGACTGTGCAGCACACAGAAGCTCATCCCTAAGTATCCAGTACAGAAGGGAGGGGTCTCCCCTCTACTCTGATGGGCCTGTAATCTGGGTCAAGCCCCAATTGTGTGATTGTGGGTGAGTTACTTAAACCCTTTAAGTTTTAGTTTGCATTGATACATAGGTGTATAAATGCCTCAGGCATGACAATTGCTACTTGCTAACTGACAAGCTGAAATAGATAGGCCTGCAAAAATGTTTCAATGCTCCATGCCAAAACAGCAGATCTGTTTATCACTCTATTCTTTAAAATATGGTAAACATATTCTAAGTCACTCATAAATAATAGCTGTGGGGAAAAGGATCTTTTTTTTCCAGAGCAGACAGGTAAGTGTTGCCCAGTGCTTCTGTATCATCTAGACTAATTTCTGCTCTCATATTCTCTCAGATTTTCTTTTTCTTTTTTTTTTGGGGGGGGGGGGGGTCCGGTCGTGGGGCCTGAACTCTGGGCCTGGGCGCTGTCCCTCAGCTCTTCAGCTCAAGGCTAGCGCTCTACCACTTGAGCCACAGCGCCACTTCCGGCTTTTTTCTTTTTGCTTATGTGGTGCTGAGGAATCGAACCCAGGGCCACAGGCATGCAAGGCAAGCGCTCTACCACTGAGCCACCTTCCCAGCCCCTTCTCTCAGATTTTCTAAGGACTCTTGTCCCACAGCACAGCCTTTTTTCACAGGCAAACTACTTAGCCATCTCTTCTCCAACCCTCACTTCCTCAGTTCTTTCTTCAATCCCTGCAACCCAGTTTCTTCCGCAACACTCTTCCTACAGCCAAGGTCAAGTACAGAGGATCCAGGATTCACTTCCCTGTCCCACTTTCCCTCACCACCACTGGCCATTCCTGCCCCCCTCCTTCTCCTCCTCCAGTTGCCTTCAATTCCCATGGGTCACTTCCCCTTGCTCTTCTGCCAGGATCTCTGCTACTCTGGTGCTCTTCTCAGTCCCTTTGCTGCCCCACCCTTCTTGGTTCTTACATACGATCTCTCCCTAAGTAATGCATTTGACTTCTTGAAATCTAGCCCAGTACTTGTGTCAGTGATTCAACATAATTCCTCCCACCTTAGCCTCACCCTGAACTCAGCTCTCTTATGTTCACCTGACCCTTAACAGCTCCACACAGACATTTCAAAATCATCTCATACTTGGCCTTGAACAAAACTTTTAGCTTGTAATTGTCCACTTGAAACCATGTCCTGTTGCTGTCTTGCCTGTCTCTGCAGAAAGTTTCACCATCCTCCTGACTATGAAGCCAAGATGCTCAGGAATAAACTTAATCCTTTCTCCACCCCCTATGGTTAATGCATAGTTCATGCAAAGCCCTGTCCCTCAAGTCCATCAGATTTTTTTTTTTTTTTTTTTTGCCGGTCATGGGGCCTGAACTCTGGGCCTGGGCGCTGTCCCTCAGCTCTTCAGCTCAAGGCTAGTGCTCTACCACTGGAGCCACAGCGCCACTTCCGGCTTTTTCTGTTTATGTGGTGCTGAGGAATCGAACCCAGGACCTCATGCTTGCAAGGCATGCACTCTACCGCTGAGCTACCTTTCCAGCCCCCCATCAGATATTTGTCATTGTCTTCATGATGACAAGCCACAGGCTTGCCTTTCCTGGAGATTTCTGCTATTATCCTAAATGGTCTATCTACTTCCGAACCACAATAATCCAATCTTGTATATCAGCTAAAATTATTTTTAATTCAATGTGAATTAAAATACCTCAAAGGAGCTTAAATAAAATTTAGGTTTCCTTTGTGCTGATCCTAGGGCTTGAATTCATGGTCTGGGTACTGCCCCTTAGTTTTTCACTCAATGCTGTTGCTTTACTAATTTAACCACAAATCCACTTCCAGTTTCTCAGGGCCTAGTATGATTGGGCTCCTGACTTATCTCCATACCACCTCACCTTCTGCCATCCTACCCTAAATGAAGACACTTGCCTTCTTTTTCTCTTTCTTCTTTCAGCTAAATGCCACTTTCTCAGAGAGAGTTCCCTGAGAACTATAGTTGCCTAAATCTAATTGTTTTTCTTCCTCAATCCTGATGCCATTTCCCCCCAAATACTTTTTACTCTCTTCAACTTTCTTTTTTTGTTAGAAGCTTACTATCTTACTCTCCTGTCATCAGAGAAGGTTGCGTTGAGTCAGAGGACAGTATATAACTTACTCAAGAGCCTGTCATCTAAATGAAACCACCAAGGTTCTGGAAATGGACCACAGTGGCTGGCCTGGAAAGCAAAAAGTATTTCAAGCTCTTTTATTTTGATGAGATACTCTGTCTTCTACTTCCAGAGAAATTTAGACAAATTTTCTCTTTCTCTTCCTTCTAAGTGTCCACAGTTAAGGAAAAAAGCAAAATAATCAAAGAAATGAACTGCATGATCTCTGAGGGATCTTTTAAGGACCTGTGCAAAGCTCATGGATTTTTGGTAGTAGCAGTGGAAGAAGAAGAAGAAGAAGAAGAAGAAGAAGAAGAAGAAGAAGAAGAAGAAGAAGAAGAAGAGGAAGAGGAAGAGGAAGAGGAAGAGGAAGAGGAAGAGGAAGAGGAAGAAGAGGAGGAGGAAGAAGAAGAAGAGGAGGAGGAGGAAGAGGAGGAAGAGGAGGGGGAAGACGAGGGGGAAGACGAGGAGGAAGACGAGGAGGACGAGGAGGACGAGGAAGATGAGGACGAGGAGGAAGAGGGGGAAGAAGCAGGAAGGAGGGGGAGGAAGCAGGAGGAGGGGAGGAGGAGGAAAAAAGAGAGGAAGAGCAGGAGGAAGAGAGGAAGAGGAGGAGGAGGAGGAAGAAGAAGAAGAAGAAGAAGAGGAGGAGGAGGAGGAGGAGGAGGAGGAGGAGGAGGAGGAGGAGGAGGAGGAGAAGGGAAGAAGGGAAGACAGAGGTAACTAACTAGACATGGCTACTTAAAGGAAAACAGACCTTTGATATTTAAGACCACAAGTTTCCCTTCCTTGCCTATTGGTGTCTAGCCTGATGAGTTGAAAGCAGCCTTCAGGTTTTCTTTGTATCCCATGCTGCTCTGTGCTGTTTAAAGCATATTCCATTGCTGATATTTGGGACTGGGGCATAGTTCAAGTGGTAAAATCCTTGCATTGCAAGCCGCAGTTCAATCAGGTCCTGAGGTCAATCTCACGTGTTTCCAGAAATAATTGCTGATATTTCACTATTTTGACTTCTTAAAAATTAGATTTTCATATATTTTATTCAAGGTAGTTCAATCCTAGCTTGTGGTCTCAATCCAGAGAATGTAGGAGAAACTGGTAACACATAAGGTAAGAACAAATTCATAAAGTAAACCCTAACCTGTACCAAATTTTTTGGAAAGGTGCCTTAAGTACTTTAAGTCACTAGGGAACAATTACAGCTGTTCATTGTCCGTAACACTGTATCAAGCACACAGGAACTCTGCTTCAGCTACAAGCTGCTGACCACAAGAATAAAAAGATCACTAGCTGGCTGGCTACCGGTGGCTCACGCCTGTAATCCTAGATTCTCCAGAGACTGAGATAGGAGGATCAAGGTTCAAAGCCAGCCCAGGCAGAAAAGTCCCCATGAGACTCTTAAGTCCAATTAACCACTCAAAAAGCAGAAGTGGATCTGCGGCTCAAAGTGGTAGATTGCTAGCCTAGAGGAAAAGAGCTCAGTGATAGCACCCAGGCCCTAAGTTCAAGCCCTCCAACTAACAGAAAGAGAGAGAGAGAGAGAGAGATCACTAACCCCAGCATTCTTCAAGGCATCCCCAGCACAAGGACACAGGTTTTAAGAACACTAGAGCTCAAGGGCAAAGAGAGAAAATATGAAGTGCAACTCTTGGCGCAAACTCTCACTGGCCTTCTGACATTTTTCAGAGAAACCTCGCTAGTTCAATGCTTAACTTTTTTAAAATTAGAACAATAAAAAAGAGCAGAATTATACACTTAAAATAGAACAGAACTGTACACACAAAATGGACTAAAATAGAACAGAATTAAACATATAAAATAGACTACAGCCTGGATGGAATATAATCAAAAGTGAGGCATTTTTTATTGGAGAAGATCTAGAAAGAAATGATTTATACATATATGCGCCTTACACAGATCTCATAAAGAAGACATGCATTCAATTACTGTTTGTGGAAATAGTTTGGATTTCATACAAGTTAGGTCAGAAGTTATTGAAGAAATCTCAACTACTATGGGATTTGTCCTAGACAAAATGAGGGAGCTACCGCCTCCCTTCCCCCACCCATAGTAGCTCAGCACCCAAGATAATGCACTTACGTTGAAGGTCCCTGGTCAAAGCCACAGGAGGGCTCAGCACCATCAGCAGCACCATCAGAACTGCCATGTGGAAGCCTCCAGGGAGCCACAGGCACAGCATGCTGGAGATCAGGAGAAAACTAGTTAGAAGAGAGCAGTGAGAACTATGTACCCTTCTCTACTGATACTCCAAATAATAACCAAGATATTCATTGCTTTGATGCTGGATTGGCCAAGCTTAATGTGGACAAGCCAATCAGCAGTAGAGATGGAAAACATCACTTGTTGCTAGGTAGAGATCTAATATCAATGTGCTCTTCTGAAATGTAACCATTTCTTTCTTCATAAGAATGGTTTTTACTTAATATTTTAACTATTTAACCCATATGCATCTAAATTATTTCATTAGGGTCATTATCCTGAGCCAGTCGGGTGCTAGTCAGTGATGTAGTCAGAAGGTTGAGCCTTGTAGGGAACACACTCAGTTACTTATGAAAGATAGCTATTTGGACAACTACTGCCTGTATGTTTTTGTTTAGGAGTGAAAGTGGTAAAAGGCAGACAATGGCAGATTAGAAGGACTGCAGTCTGGTACTTACTGTACAATAACTTAGTGCTGTCGATTTGGATAAATTATATAACCCCTCCAATGTGAAATAAAGATTCTGAGATCTTTTCTGTAAGACAGTACTTGGAAAATTGTGTCCACATCAAGGAGCCATCTCTGCCGTTAACAGATGACACAACAGAATGGCAGCTGTTGATTGGAGAGCACAATCTATGCTTCCGCTAGGGATATCTCTGATAAGCTAATGAAACTGAAAGTCTTGCTGGTTTTAGTGTCACCTCAGAAAATGCATAGACAAGGGTCTTTGTGGTTATCCAAAGTTGCAAGCAGTCACACAGAGGACAGACTAAGGATCGCAGGGCAGCAGGAGAGATGCAAGGTCCTGGCAAGCTCCAGTCAGAAAATCACTTGTCCAGAAATCTGTGGAGTGTAGAATAAGGTCACCAGAATGGAGTCTGAATATAAACCCTCGTTCTTTGAATTGGTGTATATCTTTGGGAATCTATTAATTCTTTTGAGTTTTTCACTTGTAATCAAGGATTCCTTGATGTATTAATGCCATTTTTTATTCAACCTAGCTAGGTTTTAGAATCTGCTGAGCAGTTGAGGGTCCGAGGAATGGGGAAAGAGATGGCAATATAGAGAGTTCATCTGGTTAAAGTTACTATGTGTGTGTGCATGTGCGCGCGCGCGCACACACACACACACATATGGTTAACACCACAGTGAACAATTATTACACACTCAAAAATGGCAGAAATGTAGAACAAGTCCTGTTAGGGGGTAGATGCTCGTGGGAGGGGAGGGGAAAGAAGAGAGAGTAAAGGTGAGTGAATATAATTGTAATATTTGGTATATATGTATGAAAACCGAACAAGAAAATCTGTTGGAAATTGTTTCAACAATGGAAGAAGGGATATGGGAGAAAGACATGTAGGAAGTGTTTGTATGCATGTATGGAAATGTCTCAATGCCACTCATTTGAACAAACAGTATATGCTAACAAAAATGTTTCTCTTTTCTTTTTAAAGCAAAGAGATCAATGAATCAATCCTATCCATCTGGGTATTGATTCTGTCTTTCTGGAGGAGACACAGGAGTGTAGGAGGCATTTATGGGGAATCCCCATCCTTTCTCTTTTTTATTTCCTATAACCAATGGGGAGAGAGTTAGTAAGCATCACTTATCTCTAGCAGACACACTTGACCAGAAGGTCTTTTCAATGACTAAGTTACATGTTGATGTAAAAAAAAAAGTGAAAATTTAGGAGAAGAATTGGGGCATTGCAGGTGGTTTGTAAGGAAAGAATATTTGCAGAATAAAACAAAATGTGGGTGAGGATTGCAGGAACTAAGAATTTAGGGTAATAGTCATGCCTGGATTCTTATGCTTATATGGGAAGTTCTAGCAAATAGGAAATGCATAAATATAAAGCTGTGATGGGCCTGGAACCAATATATCAGTGTCCTAGCTACTCAGAGAATCACAGCTCAAAGCCAGCCTAGGTAGGAAAGTTCATGAGTCACTCTTTTCTCCAATTAACCGGTATAAAGCTGGAAGTGGCTCTGTGGCTCAAATGGTAGAGCACCAGCTTTGAGCATCAAGACCAGGTATCGTTGCAAATTTGTGCAGAGTCACTCTGAAACAAGGAATGTTTTAGACTCAGTCCTTAAACCTCTGGTTGCTTCTCTTTCCTGGATCCTAAACTCTGTGCTTCAGGATGAAGTGATCATTTTTCTGAGCAATGATACTTTATGAAAATCTATTATGTGTCAATTAATTTCCTATGCAAGCAATGGATAAAGTAACTTAGTTGATTCTAACAAGTAATAATATCATTGTAATAATCGTAGCATAGATCTGGTTCCCCACACCCTGTGAGAATGTCGAGTGGGCTGGGTTAGAAGCATGGGGTGAGAAGAATACTTGCAGTTTGGGGAAAGAAACAGGATATGGCTCCATGAGCTGTCAGGGACCCACCTTTCTCACTTGCTTTGGATGCTTGATCCTTTCCAGTCAAGCATAGTTGGAAAATCCCTATCCAGGATTAAATCAAAAGGACATTGTTTGGAGGCTAATATCTCACTATGGATAGAAAAGTTAAATTCTGTGGTGAGCAGAAGACTGAGGAGAAAAGAGAAGTTTGTTGAGAGTCATCTCCCCACCTGCTGGCTATGGGAAGAAAATACTGGATCAATATTAGAAAATGAAATCAATAGCTGCACATCCTTATAAAGCCATTTTTTAATCACCTCATGTAATCTTTTTGTTGTTGGTTGTCAGTCACGGGGCCTGAACGCTGGGCCTGGGCACTGTCCCTCAGCTCTTCAGCTCAAGGCTAGCGCTCTACCACTTGAGCCACAGCGCCACTTCCAGCTGTTTTCTGCTTATATGGTGCTGAGAAATTGAACTCAGGGCCTCATGCATGCAAGGCAAGCACTCTACCACTGAGCCACCTTCCCAGCCCCTCATGTAATCTTTATAACATCTCCGCAAATAACATTTTGTACCATTTTTGGAAGGAGTAAAAGGAATATATACTGATGCCAAATTGGAGGAATAGAAATTTATCTTAAAAGGTATTAGTGTTTCAGATATATAAAGTTGGCAAAATTGTTTCAATGTTTTACAAACTTACATTAAAATTTTTTAGTGGAATGCTCTGTGCAAGGGAGATAGTAACCCTCATTGAAAGAAGGAAAGAGCCGGCTCTCTCTGATAGCTCACACCTGTAAGCCTAACTACTCAGGAGGCTGAGATCTGAGGGTCGTAGTCCAACATCAGCCTGGAAAGGAAAGTCCCTGAGACTCTTTATCTCCAATTAATTACCTAAAAACTGGAAATGGAGCAGTGACTTGAAGTGGTGGAGTATTAACCTTGAGCTAAAGAGCTCTGAATTTAAGCTTTACTACCACCAAAACAAAACAAACAAACAAAAAACAGAGAAGAAATAAAAAAGGAAAGAGTTGTGCTTCAACTCACTTAAGGGAACAGAAGGGACAAAAAAGAGAGATGCAATTATATTACAGAGGTAACATGGATGAAAGATACAGAGTGAGAGGAGTCCTGTCTTCTTTGAAGAACAGAAGGGCAAATACAGAGTATGCAAATGAATTTCAGAGAGGAGAGAAAAAAATCAGCCAAGGTCGAGTTGGCAATCCTAGGTAGTTACAAAGTTAGAAAATGTCTATTAAGCTGGGTGTTGGTGGCTCATGCCTGTAATCCTAGCTACTCAGGAAGCTAAGATTTGAGAATAATTGGTCAAAGCCAGCCAGAGCAGGAAAGTCTATGACACTCTTCTCTCCAATTAACCACCAAGAAGCTGAAAGTGTAGCTGTGTCAAGGGATTGTGTGCCAGTCTTGAGTGGAAAAAAGCTAAAGGACAGCACCCAAGTCTTGGGTTCAAGCCCCAGAACTAGCACACAAAAAGGCGGGGAGGGAGTGTTCACAATAGCCAAGATATGGAAACAACCCAGATGCCCCACTACAGATGAATGGATCCAAAAAATTGTGGTACCTATATACAATGGAAGATTATTCAGCCATTAGAAAGGACAAAATAATGGCATTCTCAGGGAAATGGATGGAACTAGAACATGTTGAGTGAGGTAAGTCAAGCTCAGAGAGACAAATGGCACATGGTCTCCCTGATATGTGGATGTTAAATTCAAAATGCAAGGAGATATGACAAAATAAAAAGGATTCAACCAGCAAAGGAACTCTAAATTTGTCATATCATTCCTAGATGACTCCATGTTCTTGATCTCAAATATGGCATTTACACGTGCACATCTGAGGGAAGCTAGGAGGAAGGCACAGAATCAGAGAAAAACAGGGGAAAATACACAGAGGGGCCCATCAGCTACACTGATGAACTGAGCAACTCAAGGGCAGCGAGGGGAGGGAGGGAATGAGAGGGATAGCGGGAATAGTTTATACTGAGTAAAAGGAAAGAAATATACATATTAACCAAGAAATAACTGTAGTGCCACTGTTTGTGGAGTCCATAAGCTTTATAGACCATGATCATGACAATGAAGGTGCCTCATGAAGGTTAAAATGTGTTTGTGACTTTATCTAAGTATCACCATCCCACAATTCTGTGGTTTGTGAACTTATCTAACCACTTACTCTCAATAAAAAAAAAATTATTAAAAGAAAAAGAAAGAAAGGAGAGCTTGGATTTACTCAGCACTAATATTCTCATATTTGTACTATAAAATCTCATTTGAGGAAAAGGGAAAGATGAATGAATCCTTTTAGAAGAAACACTTCTTTCCTTTTGCCAGAGGCGGGGCCCCTAGACTCATCCTGAAAACACAGAATCTGCCTCATCAATCTCAGTTCATCCTAATTCCTGCTTACAAAGATATTCCAACTTTTTTGCACTGACGCATTTTAAGACAGAAAAACATTGTTGGAAATCCCCAACATTTTTTTCAACATTTCAACCAATAGGAATAGAGAACAGAGCAGCATCACTTGTCTCTAGCAGAAACAACTGCTAAGACGGTCCGGTCTGAGCCCAGGTCTTTGAGGAGAAACCGTTTAGCCAGTGGGAAGTCTGATCATCAGTGAGTGGAATGGCAGACAACCTAGTTTTATGGAAAGAAATAAGATAGGTCCCGCAGAAAGCCAAGAAAACATGTTTCACCATTGCAAAGCAGCAGAGTGCAGAGTAAGGACCCAAGTATTTGGCTAGGGGAGGGGAGGGTACCTAATCCTTTCGTGCATCTGTGGGAAGTCCCTGGTCAGTTTTTAGAGAAGGAAATGATCTAGACTGTTCCTGATAGTTTTGCATTAGTATGAGTGGTGGTGGAGATGAAAATGGAAAAGCCCACAATCACACCTGCTGATTGTCACAGGACAAGTGGAGGAAAGGTCACGTTACTACACACCAAACCTTTTTTCCTAGCACAGTAGCACTCCAAGTACACTATCTCAATTAAGGATCATAAAAATCAATGTTTGGTGTTTTTTTTCAACTGCTGGGTCTTTGGTACCTATGATGGGTCTTCATCCTCAATAAGTGTTTAGTAAACTCGTTGAGTATTATACTAAGATGTAATAAATTTCAGAGCTCCAAAGCAACCATCTTTAGGATTCAAACCCTTGCTACATAAGTCCCAAGTCCAGGAATTAAAAATAATAGTTCATCCAGGTGATAGGTAGATGTGGAATAGTGGAGCTGTGACTCAAGGGGTAGACTAGCACCAACCTTGGGGGAAAAACCTAAGGGAAGGTATGAAGCCCTGAGTTCAAGCCCCAATACCAGCACTCAATTAATAAATAAATACAGTACATGAGAGAAGAGATGTGGAACATGTTTAATATGCAGGAGCCTCTGCTTAAATCTCTAACACAGAATAAAACCTGTGCAGAATTTATTTTGATATGAGGCCATCTGTATAAGGTATATAAGCCCTTGTGAGGCTCTCGGCCCACAGATAATCTACGAAATGTGCAGGGTTGATCTAGATAACTTCCAGCACTTCCTCCACAGGACGAAGAAGGACTTCCTGGCTGATGTGGAGAGCTACACAATCCCTCATATCGACCTCCACTGCCCCTCTCTGTCTCATAGGTTGGGGTGATGAGAGAAAGGGAGGAATCAGGAGGCCTGGGGAAGGTTCCTCTTCAGCTACGAGGGACACCAGCATTCATTTAGTCTCTCTCGCCATCTGGTGGTGGCACAGCTGGAAAGGTTCAAGTTTCTGAACTTTTCCTTGTGTCTTCTTGTCTGGTTGTTAATGTTGGTTTTATTTCACTTTTTGTTTGTGTCTTGTTTGGGATTTTATTTTCCTCCCACGCTGGTGATGGAACCCAAAGCCTTGTGCATATCAGGTAAACACGCCACTCCTAAGGTACACGGACAGTTTGGGTTTCCAAACTTTTTCTAACAGGAATTTTATCCCATAGTTATGATGATTCCTCACCATTGTGTAAACAGCTAGGCTTCTTCCAGCTCATCTCTAGTTTATTAAGAAGGTTGTCAGGGGCCAATGGCAAAAGGGCTGGGAGGAGGGGGAGCTTTAAGCCTAGCTACTCGAGAGGCTGAGATCTGAGGATGGCTGTTCAAAATCAGCCCAAGCAATGCTTGGTAAGAAATGTACGCATTATCCTGCCCATGTAATTGTAACCCCTCTGTACAGTATGTTCTCAAATAAAATAAAATTAAATTAAAAAAAATCAGCCCAAGGCAGGAAAACTCATGAGACTCTCATCTCCAAAAGTTGGAAGTGGAGCTCTGGCTCAAACAGTAGAGAGCAAGTCTTGAGCCAAAAAGCTCAGGGACAGCACCCAGACCCTGAATTCAAGCCCCGGACTGGCACCAAAATAATTATCATCAGCATCAGCATCATCAGCATCATCTAAAAATGAAAACCAAATGTTATGAGATCTTTGTGAACAAAACTCCACCCACAGAAGACCTGCCACCCACTCTCTACCATGTACCTCCCTCTTCCCCAACACAATCTGGGACAGAAACCTAACGAGGTTACCACCCTTCCTGGGACAGCCATGAAACTAAAGAACCCTCTGATGAAGCAAGATGGCTGATGGAAAGACTTCAACCCAAAGAGAGAATGTGAAAAAGTAATCACGTTTTAAAATGGAAAAGACAGCTGGGAATGTGGCTTAGTGCTAGAGTGCTTGCCTAGCATGCATGGAGCACTGGGTTCAATTCCTCAGTACCACATAAACAGAAAAGGCCAGAAGTAGCATTGGGCTCGAGTGCTAAGAGGTCTAGCCTTGAGCAAAAGAAGCTCAGGGACAGTGTCCAGGCCCTGAGTTCAAGCCCCAGGACTGTCAAAAAAAAAAGGGAAAATATATGGATATGTGAAATAGCTCTTGAAACTCCTTTACATTTTTTATACAATTAATACACACACACACACACACACACACACACACACACACACCCCTAAAAAAGAATGACAGGAGGTAAAGTGCGAAAGAGGGTACTGATTATACACGTATGTAATTAGAACAATGAAGCCTGAACTGCTTTAAAAAGAGTGAAATGGGATTGATAAAACAGATGAACTGGATCAGAATATATTGTATGCATGTGTAGAAAAATCACAACGATGGGCTGGGAAGGTGGCTCAGTGGTAGAGCGCTTGCCTTGCATGCATGAGGTCCTGGGTTTGATTCCTCAGCACCACATAAGCAAAAAGAAAAAAGCCGGAAGTGGCGCTGTGGCTCAAGTGGTAGAGCGCTAGCCTTGAGCTGAAGAGCTGAGGGACAGCGCCCAGGCCCAGAGTTCAGGCCCCATGACTGGACCCCCCCCCCCAAAAAAAGAAAAGAAAAGAAAAAGAAAAATCACAACGAGACCCCCTTGAGTAACTAATAAATGCTAATATTTTTTAAATAAATGGAAAAATACAAAATTCACGAGAAAATAGTAAACATTAAAGACACACAAAAGTAAAGTGGGAATGACTAGAATCCCTGGAAAGGGAAAACCAAAGCAAAGATGAAAATAAATCTCAGCTGGGCATGGTGATGAACCATGCCTCATGACTCCTAGCTAGTTGAGAGGCAGAAGTAGGAGGATCACAGTTTGAGGTCAGCTGAGCAATTAGCAGGAGAACCTATCTGAAAAACGTAGAAAGCAAAAGGAATGGGGATATGGCTCAAGGCTGCCTAGCAAACATGAGGCCCTGATATCAAACCCTAGTACCGGAAATGAGAGTCAGGGTGGGACCATAAACATTCCTGAAATTAAAAAAAAAATGATTTGCACTATATATTGAAAAAGAATACGGCTTCCTAGAGAAGTAGAAAAGTTCAAAACTAAACAACCAAAGCCAAAATACATTCTGGTAAACTTTCTTAACATTGAAAGATGACAACAACAAAAAATAGCTTCCAGAGAGTCTATAAAAATTACCAAATGAGGGGCTGGGAAGGTGGCTCAGTGGTAGAGCGCTTGCCTTGCATGCATGAGGCCCTGGGTTCAATTCCTCAGCACCACATAAACAAAAAGAAAAAAAAAAAATTACCAAATGAGGGTCTGGGAAGGTGGCTCAGTGGTAGAGGGCTTGCCTTGCATGCATGAGACCCTGGATTCGATTCCTCAGCACCACATAAGCAGAAAAAGCTGGAAGTGGTGCTGTGGCTCAAGTGGTAGAGTGCTAGCCTTGAGCTGCAGAGCTGAGGGACAGCACCCAGGCTCAGAGTTCAAGCCCCATGACCAACAAAAAATAAATTACCAAATGACTTGTGAATAAGTAGATAATCTCTCAGTATAGTAGTGCGTGCTAGTTAGTCACCCAGCTCAATGGGAGGCAGAGGTAGGAAGATCATGGTCCAAAAAGCACAATACTGGAAAATAAACTAAAGCCAAAAGGGCTTTGGTTATGGTCCAAGTGGTAGAGTGCTTGCCTAATAAGCATAAGGCCCTGAATTCAAACCCCATACCATACACACGTACCAAAAAACAGGGGGGCGGGGAAGGAAAGGCCAAAAGCTCACAGTTCGTAGTTTGGGAACCAAATTGTGGTTCCTAGAGGTTAATAAGAAGAACGGGGAGGGGGAGAATGGGGTAATGCTGTCACTGAGAACGATTAGATAACAGAAACGAGTTCTTTTATTCTATTGTTTAGTGGCTATAAATAGCCATTTTATTTCACAATAAAAGGGTTTATTGATTTACTTTATGAAAAAGACCAAAAACATGAAGTAGTCTCTGCTTCATCATTTGTCTTCTGAAGTCTGGAAGCTGCAAGCGGGGTTTTGGAGACCTTGCGGTAGAGCGAGGGGGGCTGGGAGGAGTTAGGTCTCAGGGAAATTTCCAGCCAGGATCTTGAAATGGGGTCTTAGAAAGTTCACAGGTAGGAGGGTGGGGGCTGCATGCTCTTGGGACACACAACCCTAGATCAGTTCACAACTCCAAGGACTAAGGAAGAGCCTTCTCCAGAACAGTGACTTCTTCAATATCCTTTCCTAACCTGGGGCTCTGGCCTGTGGGCACTCTGTCAGGCTCCGGGGACAAAGCTTCCATTAGGGCCTCAGTAGGGCTGTGATGGGAGAAGAGCTCTTGAGACCTGCAGAGACAAATGATGAGGAGTCTCACCAGGCCACACCCCCAGCCCGGTGCAGAGTCTCAAGAGACAGCACCACCCAGCCAGCAGCACCTTCTGCCTGCTTTACTCCTTCTCACCAAAGGGCTGGGAAAGAATCTAGCAGCCAAAGACAAAGTATAGGAGACATTACCTCATGGCCAGCCTGAGCCTCTGCAGATCCTAGGAACAGAGAATGGAATGGCCCAGTTAGGATGTTGTTGTGAACAGAATGGCCCAGTTAGGGTGTTGTGAACGGAATGGCCCAGTTAGGGTGTTGTCATGTTCCTGAGGGATGGAGGATGGCCTGCAATGGCAGAACTCCATCTCTGTTGAGCTTCAGGAAAGATTCTCCTGGCGCCCCCTGGAGAAGGGAAACTGGAAGTGGAGGAAGACTGGGGGCAAGTGGCCAGGGTCTCCTGGGGGCTCCTTACCTTTCCAAGCCCTGAGGTGGATGAGGAGTCCAGCCAGGAAGAAGATTACACCAAGCACAAAGGCCACAATCCCACCAAGCATCTTTCTCCAGCAATATTCGATCTGAACTCCTATGAAAGACAGGTCTTAAAGGTAATTACAAAGCTCCAAATATTTGACACATATAACATCTCAAAGCCTGTGCCGGATGCCAAATCAAATGCTATTTAGGAAGAACGGCATTTAGAAATGCATCTCTGAGACCAGTGTTTACACCCATGGAGTTGCCTCCCATTTGTCGCTGATTTTCATGTTTCATATTGGTCCCCCTCCCCCTCAAATCCTAAGAACCAAATATGAAAGAACACTAGTTCCCAAAATTGCAAGCAAGTAAGGATGGGAGAAAACAATGGAAAGGGGTGACATTGATCAAGATACATTGTACTCATTATTTGACTTGTTGAAGTGAAACCCTTGGTACAATTACTTAATTTGTTTTTGTTTGTTTTTGTCAATTGTGGGGCTTGAACTCTGGGCCTGAGCACTGTCCCTCAGCTCTTCAGCTCAAGGCTAGTGCTCTACCACTTGAGCCACAGCGCCACTTCCAGTTTTCTGAGTGGCTTATTGGAGATAGTCTCATGGACTTTCGTACCTGGGCTGGCTTTGAACCATGATCCTCAAATCTCAGCTTCCTGAGTAGCTAGGGTTACAGGTGTGAGCCACCAGTGCCCGGCCTTAATTTGTTTTTAAAGCAAGTAATGAGGTGGCCACCCTTCCTTGTCTCTTGGGAAATGTGAAGATAGATACATATCTGCCCCATCTTCTCCCACCTAGCCCAAAGACTCTCATTTTCTCAGGTCCAGGGAAAGAATTTGAGTTGTGACCAAGATGAGCACACAGGCAACACAAACTTCATAATAGAGCAATCAGCTGGTGTGATCGTGAATCAGGCTGTGAGAACACAAGAAACAGATGCTCACTCCACTCCACAGAAATGGGGCTCCGCAGGCTGGGATGCTCCACACGGCAGCAGTAGACATCCCCAAGGTTAGGAGTCATCTCCAGCATCTCCAGGGCCTGAAAGGTCCAGTCTCCATTCCTGGTGAGGCCACTGGACACAACCCCAGCTCTCTCCTCCTGTCCATTCCGGAACCACCTGATCTTAATGTCCCCTGGGTAGAAGCCTGTCACCAAGCAGAGCAGCAGATTGGGCTGCTGCAGGAGTGGGGTTCTCTCTGGGTACACTGTCACCTCTGGTGGCACTAGGGAGAGAGAGGAAAGGAGATGTTGTGTGGGAAACCCACCAAGCCAGGGCAGGGTGGGAGTTTCGCTAGGGGTGATCCCCAGATCACCCAAGTGGAAGTAGGAAGTGTAGGGAAATTCCAGCCCCAAGACCAAGAATTGAGGTTGTATCAATGTCTCCAAGCAGGATTCTGACTTTTTTTTTTTGTCATGAGGCTTGAACTCTGGTCCTGGGGGCTGTCCCTGGGCTCTTAAGCTCAAGGCTAGTGCTCCCACTTCTGATTTTCTGGTGGTTTATTGGAGATAAGAGTCTCACAGACTTACCTGCCTGGGCTGGCTTTGAATCACAATCTTCAGATCTCAGCCTCCTGAATAGCTAGGATTATAGGCGTGAGCCACTGACGCCCAGCTGGAGGATTCAGATTTTATCAGCCCTTCCCATAATCACCCATTCTAGTTGACAATGCTCTCATTCTCAAAGGCCATGAGACCCTTGATGTGGTCTAGGACCAAGACTAGGGTCCTGACCTTTGTGGATCTCAAGTTAGTCACAGTTGGGGACAAAATATACACATAGCTTCTCCTACTTATAACGCATTAGTCCTGAAGCAGACAGAACAAGAACCTATCTACAGAAGTTCATTCCAAACAAGCAAAGCCCAGCTAGAGCCTGGTAAACTTTCTGAACATTAAGAAAAATAAAATGGCCAGGTTCTGATGGCTCATGCTTGTAATCCTACCCACTCAGAATGCTGAGATCAGAGGACTGTGGTTCCCAGGCAGGAAGTCCATGAGACTCTTATCTCCAATTAATCACCAGAAAACCAAAAGTGGCACTGTGGCTCAAAGTGGTAGATTGCTAGCCTTGAGGGAAAGAGCTCAGGGACAATGCCTTTGAGTTCAAGTCCCATGATAGACAAAATAAATATACAAATACATAAGTAAATAATGAAATTGTTGATAGCTGGGTGCTGGTGGCTCACACCTGTAATCCTAGCTACTCAGGAGGCTGAGATCTGAAGATTGCAGTTCAAAACCAGCCTGGACAGGAAAATCTATGGGACTTATTTCCAATTAACTACCAAAAAACCAGAAGTGGTGCTGTGGCTCAAGTGGTAGAGCGCTAGCCTTGAGCTGAAGAGCTGAGGGACAGTGCCCAGGCCCAGAGTTCAAGCCCCATGACCAACAACAACAACAAAAAAATCACTTCTAGGGATCCTATAAAAAGTTTCCAAATGACTCCTTCATAATTAGATTATCTAGACCACCCCTGCCTTCCTCCTCACCTTTCCGCCCCACAGTGAAGGGGGCCCCCAGCCTGTAGTTCTGTCTGCACACTAGGTCCACAGAGGCTCGGCTCTGCGCCAGGATGTCAGGCCGGTTGTTCCACTGCTCAGCATCGGGCTCCCCCAGTTCTGTCAGGGCCACGAACATCCCCACATCGCTGTCAAAGTGGACAAACTCCTCCAAGTTGAAGATAAATCTGACCACGAACTGCACCTTTTCTGTGCCGTTGGTGAAGTAGCAGTCGGCCTTTGCCTGAATCACAAAATCTTCTGGAAAACACACACACACACCAGCTCCATTAGGTTACATTTTGTGGATATCAGAGGGGGCTCAAAAGCAATGTTAAGTGAGAATATGATTCAATGCACAAGTATATATGTTATACCCCACTTCATTGATTGTGAATGGAAGCACAATGTCTATGATTTCTTAATTCTATGCACTTGAGAACAGTAACATAAAAGGCCAGTGGCTCACAACTGTAATTGTAGCTACATGCTAGATTGAGATCCAAAGATTGCAATCTGAAGCCAGCCTGGGCAGGAAAGGCTGTGAGGCTCTTACCTCCAAATAACCAGCAAAGAGTCAGAATTAGAGCTGTGGCTCAAGTGGTAGAGTGCTTGCCTTGAGCACAAAAGCTCAGGGACAGCACCCACAGCTCAGGCCCCAGGACTGGCAAAAAGAGAATAGTAACACAGAAGGAAATTCAAATGAGACTCATAATCTCAAGAGGCTGAGATCTGAGGACTGAGGTTCAAAACTAGCCCAGACAGAAAAGTTTATGAGACTCTTGGTATCTCAACCAGCAAAAAGCCACAAGTAGAGATGTGGCTCATGTGGTAGGGAGCTAGCCTTGAGGGGAAAAAAGGTAAGGGATAGTCCCCAGGCCCTGAGTTCAAACCACAATACCAGCATTAAAAAATATGGTGTTTGAGACTTGCAGGATAATTGTTATTGATCTGTGACGCTGCTTTCATTTCTTTTCTTTCTTTTTCTTCCTTCCTTCCTTCCTTCCAGTCTTGGGTCTTGAACTCAGGGTCTGGGGTCAAAGCTAGCCCTCTACCACTGGAGCCACAGCTCCACTTCTGTCTTTTTATTTTTATTTTTTGGCAGTTAACTGGAGATAAGAATCTCATGGACTCAACCGTCTGAGTAGCTAGAATTACAGGTCTGAGCCACCAGAGCCAGGCTCTGCCTTCATTTCTAAGTTCAGAGCCTCCTCCAGGCTTTGCTGGGCCTACTAGGTTCATCTTGGTCTGTCACTGATTGCAGGTGAAATTTCAACCTCTAATTAGTTGGCATTTATGTCATTCTTTATTTCCTTTATAGTCTAAATAAAAAAAAAAAACAATTCTTACTTGTTCATCCTCACTAAAAATCTATTCTTTCCAGGTTCTGGTGGCTCATACCTGTGATCTTAGCTACTCAGGAGGCTAAGATCTGAGGATTGCAGACCCAGGCAAGAAAGTCTATGTAAGACTCTTCTCTCCAATAAAGTACCAAAAGAGCTGGACATGGAGCTGAGATTCAAGTCTAGCCTTGAATAAAAGAAGCTCAGAGGTAGAACCCAGCCCCTGAGTTCAAGCCCCAGGACTGGCAAAACAATAAAAATAAAAACCTATTCTGATTTTGTCCTCATTTTTGTTGCCTAATGGACTTAAATTCAGAGTAGTTTCTATTCTCTAAAAACAATGATAATCTCCCTCCAGGTCTGTTCCTCTTTTGTATGTAATGAAACTGACTTTTAAAGGGGATTCTATTCTGAGTACATTACATCCTGTTTTCTGCTCATCCAAACGTGCTTTCATGGTTAAATGCTTCATGTTTGTGTATCTTGTTTTCTCAGCTAGGAAAATGACAGGGACAACTTGTACCCAGCATCCCACAGACAATTATGCATTCAACTTCTCAAAATCACTTACTGCAATTCTGAATATGCATTGGCATATTCAGATGACAGCAGAAATTGCTTCCAATTTCCTTTGTCCACACAGACCCCCAACAGAAGACACAGTTACGACCATCTTGGCTTAAGAATAGCAATTAATACCAGGTGCCAGTGGTTCTTGCCTGTAATCCTAGCTACTCAGGAGGCTCAGATCTGAGGGTCACAATTCAAACCACCCCAGGCAAGAAAGTCTGTAAGACTCTTATTTCCAATTAGCCACCAAAAAAGGTCAGAAGTGGACATGTGGCTCAAGTGGTAGAGTGCTAGCCTTGAACAAAAAAGCTCAGGGACAGCACAAAGGCTCTGAGTTCAAGCCAAGACTGGCACCAAAAAAAAAAAAATAGAAAGGAATAGAGAAAGAAAGGAAGAAAGAAAGAGAGAGAGAAAGAGAAAGAGAGAGAGAGAGAAAGAGAAAGAGAGAGAGAGAGGAAGAAAGAGAGGAAGGAAGGAAGGAAGAACGGGAAGAAAGGAAGAAGAAAATCAATTACTCTCACATTGCCTCCAGCTTTTACTGTTCTCCTGACTGATATTGATACAATAAAGAATCTAACAAGATAAAAATTCCTCATCATTCCTCCCTAGTTCCTGAGCCTGTGTCTGGTCTGTAGTCCAGCATGTCCTTTTTCCAGAGAGTCCATCGTGTGCAGTGAAGAGAGAAGACAAATTTTCTACCAATGGGGAAAACACAGTTCTTCAAAGCCAGAAGCCTGGGCCCAACAGAAAAAGTATCGCCCCCACTCCCCGCACCCAGCTAACACTATCTTGAACAAGCAGGGCCGGGGGAGGGGGGCGGGGGGGGGGGGGAGTTCTGTTCTTACCTGGAGTCTCTCTGCTTTCCATCATGGAGGACCCCATCCAGATCAGATTCACTAGCAGAGCCAGCCTGCAGCAGACCCACCTAGAATCCATTCTGGGAAGAAAAAAATTAAACAGTAAGCTGGGTGGTGGCTCAGGCCTGTAATCGGAGCTACTCAGGAAGCTGAGATCTAAGGATTCCAGTTCAAAGCCAGCCTGAGCAGGAAAGTCTATCTCTTATCTTGAACTAACCACCAACAAGCTGGAAGTAGAGCTGCAGCTGAAGTGATAGAGGGCTACCATTGGGCAAATAGCACCCAGGCCACTGAGTTCCAGACCCAGTACTGGCACAAAAATAAACAAAACAAACAAAAAAACCAGCTTGTTCACAGTGGACCTCTTGCCTCCACACAACCCAACCAAAAATATAGGTAAATTTCTGGCCTCTCTGGGATTGGTAAATTTGCTCTGAATGATAACCAATCAAAATAGAAGATCTTTGCATTATTAGTTGCTAGGCGGAATACGTTCACAAAGTTGTATGACACTACTCAAGAATTAATTACCTTCAAGAGCATTGGCAGTAGTTTAGGTGTATGGAAAATGAGATAAGAAAAATAAATTTTACACAGCATGGAGTCCTGGAAGAGCTAGGCAGATTGCTTGAGATGCATCCTGCTATCCAAACTCAGCATCAGCTCCAGCCTGTTCTGAACAGTAGGTCTTCCTTCATATAGCATGATTGCTGTTAACAGCAAAGACATGTAAATAAGGAAGGAAGTAGAAAGCATTCTGAAACATTAATAGTGGGATTATCAGAGAAGAAGAGAGCCAGGCACCAGTGGCTCACACCTGTAATCCCAGCTACTCAGAAGGCTGAGGTCTGAGGATCATGGTTTGAAGCCAGCCCAGGCAGGAAAGTTTGTGAGACTTAATGACTATCTGGGGAGTTTTGTTGCAAAATTTAGCAAAATCCACTTTCCTACTTCAGTGGTCCATTAGAATTGAGCTAGAAATGGCTGGCATGTATGAAGATAAATGTCAGGCACTAGCACAGTAAACACCCAGTGAATAATTATTATGAGAATTATAAGTCATAACACTCTGGTTTCAAAAACAAAAAACAAAAACCTGACATTTCTTATGACCACTAGATGGCACCAGAACATACCCAAACAAGGACATTTGTATTTATTCATTTTCAGTTTTTTTTGTTGTTTGTTTGTTTGTTTTTTGTCAGTCTTGGGGTTTGAACTCTGGGCCTGGGCACTGTCCCTGCGCTCTTCAGCTCAAGGCAAGTGCTCTACCGCTTGAGCCACAACACCACTTCCAATTTTCTAGTGGTTTATTGGAGGTAAGAGTCTCATGGATTTTCGTGCCTGGGCTGGCTTAGAACCCTGATTCTCAGATCTCAGCCTCCTTCTGAGTAGCTAGGATTACAGGCATAAGCCACCAATGCCCAGTTTATTTTTTGTTACTCAGGGCTTGAACTTGAATTTGAATTTGAGGTTTTGGGCTCAAGGATAGCATTCTACCACTTTGAACCACAGCACCACTTCCAGTTTTCTGGTGATTAACTGGAGATAAAAGACTCACAGACTTTCTTGCCCAGGCTGGCTATGAAGCATAATCCTCAGATCTCAGCCTCCTGAATAGCTAGGATTATAGGCGTCAGCCACCCTTGCCTGTCAAAGGCAATCTTCTGTTTTTGTTTAGTCTCCAGTCCTTTTCAAACCCTGACTATTCCACATTTCCTCATCAGGGCACCATGAAGCCTCCTGGTGGCCATCCCACAGAGCAAGGTCATCAAGGACTGACTCAATGCAGTTTCCACTGAGGGCAGGATAGAAAGGATAGAGAATTGTGGGTCCAAAAGAAAACTGAAAGGTTTTCCTCACTCTTCCTCTCTCCATTCCTGTTTTCCTTTAGAAAGAGTAATCCTGCCATCTCTCACCTTGTACAAAAATTAACTCCAAGTGAATCAAAAAAATCTTGATGTAAGATGTAAAGATGAAACTTTAAAGCTACTAGAGGAAAACACACACAGGGAAACACTCAAAGATCCAGACAGAAAAATCTGAGATATTCTTATCTTCAATTACCCAGCAAAAAAACAGAAGTGGAATTGTGGCTCAAGTGGCACCAGCCTTGAGAGAAAAAGCTAAACAAAAGTCATAAGTACAGGTCTTAAGTTCAAGTCTTAGTACTGGAGAGAGTGGGGGGAGAGGAAGAGAAGGAGGAGGAAATAATTTTGTAAGAGGAAGAGGAATCAGGCTGTAGTGAGGATGTGCAGTGAGACCACTCAGTCTGCAGTGAAAATATAAAAACTTTTATTGAGTGGAAAAGTGCTGATGTGCCTCAACTTGGGATCCCCAGAAACAGCCCTGAGTGCCAGCCCACATTGGCTTTTAAGCATTTAAAACTAGGGCGGGGAAAGGGGGAGGTTGGGTGTTGGTTTTAGCCAATGATTGTTACAAGAAATTCGCACCTTAAGTTTAAATTTCCCGCCAAGGTTTTGCTGGCGGGAAGCAGGGGAATAGAACAAAGGGTGGTGATGGTTTGGCTGGGTTAGGGCTCACATTGTTCAGAAAACAGCAGAAGCAGAGTGTAATTACAGAGTTACAAGGTTACAGAGTTACAGTTGCAGTTACTAGCTAAAATAGCTAGTTAGTTACCAGGGAAGTCTCATCCACAGAAAGCACAGTTACATTTATATCTTAAAATCATACATTATCCATTTTACACAATCCAAGTCAAATATTATATTTCATCCTTACTTCCTCTACCATATCAAGGCCAGCCCCCACCCCCTCTCTCTTTGCCAGTCCTGGGGCTTGAACTCAGGGCCTGAGCACTGTCGCTAAGCATCTTTTGCTCAAGGCTAGCACTCTACCACCTGAGTCACAGCACTACTTCCAGGTTTTCTGTGTATGTGGTACAGAGGAATCAAACCCAGGGTTTCATGCTAGCTAGGCAAGCACTCTACCACTAAGCCACATTCCTAGCCCCCCTCCCTCAGCACTGGGTGGGTCTGGATGATCTGCAAAAGTGCTCCTCACTCTCACTCCACCTCCTCCCAACAACAGCCAAACAGCTGTTTATTACTAGCACTGGAAAGCACCTGCTGTTTCCCGGAATGGGAAAGTTTCTGTTTCCTAGAATAGGAGTCCCAAAGGCCAAGTCCCTCCCCAATCCCAGTGATGTTACATGGTTGAATGGTTGAACCGGTTCTCAGTGGCCAGGATACATAGAGAGGATTATGTTAATATATTAATCCAGCAGACTTGTTATTTCTTTTCTCATGGTTTGGGCCCTGTGCCAGGTAGCAGATTCAAAACTAAGTTATGTGGCCTTTTAGCCCCAGGAGCTCCTGTTCTAATGCAGGACAGAGTGGGCTGGGAAGACTTTAGAGAGAGCTGGAACAGGGCCAAGTCCCAGGCAACAGAAGCACCTGGAAAGGAAACTTTCTCCAGACAAGAGGAAATAAGGAAGACTTCCTACAAGCCCGAACCCTGAGTTAAATCTTAAAGGACTTGTGGAGATGCAGGAGAGGAGGGTTGGTAAAATGGGAAAGAAATGGGGGAAGGGCAGGGAGTTTGTGGTGGCCACCACTGAAAACACCAAAAAAGAGCAGGATCCTCTGCTGGGGACCTTCGGTGCTCTGCAGGGAGTCTGGGCAGATGGTGCCCAGGACTCTGGAAGCAGTCTAGAGAAGGAATGTCATCCCATGCGCCTTCAAGGAAGAGGAATAACTTCATGAAGAATGGCTGGGAAAAGGCAGCTCCTACTGGAGAAGCCTCTGTGTGGAGATGGGAATCATGTAATACTATGAAGGAAGGCCAGCACAGCAGGAGTGGGAAGAGAATGCCTCCAGAACTAACCCCGCTGTGTCTGATCTGACCATGAACTGAAAAGAAGAGATACAAGGGGCAACATCATTCACACGGTTGGACTCTAGGGCCAGGCCTGGATGCAACTCCCAGTCTACCACTGGGGAGCCTTGGAAAAGTCGCCGAATCTCTTTGAACCTCGTTTGTAACATGGCAGCCATAAACAATAGCCACTCTCACAGAGTTAGGATAGAGTAAATATGATCATATGTGATGGGCAGCTTAGGCTGAGATCTGAGGATTGCAGTTTGAAGCCAGCCAGGGCAGGAATGTCTGTGAGACTCTTATCACCAACTAATAACCAAAAAGCTGAAAGTGGAGTTATGGTTCAGGTAGTGAATACCAGCCTTGAGCAAAAAAGCTCAAAGTGTGCCCAGGCCCTGAGTTTAAGCCCCAGCACTGGCACACATGTGCACATACGTGCACACACACACACACACACAGAGATTTGAAAAATCATTTAGTGTAATGGTTATTCATATTAAACCTCTATTAAAGGTAGCTATTATCAGATGTTAGGAACACTGCAAATTAGGAAGCTGTGTCTTTCCAGCCCCACCTTAGTTTCCCCCAAAACACCAGTTACTGAAGGAAAAAGGGAATAGGGAAGAAGGCCCTGAGGGAGGGGCATGAGGAAGGGAGGGGCATAGAGAGAGGAGGGGCACTGGGGGGAGGAGGGGCAAAGAGGGGGGGCACAGAGGAGGAGGGGCACTGGGGGAGGAGGGGCCTATGGGAGAGGAGGGGCATTGGGGGGAGGAGGGGCAAAGAGGGAGGGGCACAGAGGGAGGAGGGGCACTGGGGGAGAGGAGGGGCATCGGGGGGAGGAGCAGGAGGTCCTTGACAGCTTCCCTGGTCTTCCAGGGCCTGACATTCACCCTGCGTCCTGGGGAGGTGACAGCGCTGGTGGGACCCAATGGGTCTGGGAAGAGCACCGTGGCTGCCCTGCTGCAGAACCTGTACCAGCCCACCCAGGGGCAGGTACTGCTGGATGGAGAGCCCATCTCCGAGTATGAGCACAGCTACCTGCACAGGCAGGTAGGTGGGGAGCGAGGGAAGGGCGGAGGACAGCAGGTGTCATCACCTAGAGAAGATGCCATCCATGTTAGTGGAAAGGCTAAAAACAAACACCAACACAAGGGTCCACTCAGAGAGAGGAGAGGGAGATGGAACCGGAGCCCCCTGGGGTGAGCACTGCATGCGTCCCCTCTGCCCTTCCCCTCTGGACAGGTGGCTTTGGTGGGGCAGGAGCCCACGCTGTTCTTGGATTGGCGAGCTGTGAGGACGAGCAGGTGCTGGTTAATGGAGGCCTCAGTGAACAGATGCATAACTGAGAGGGAATTTGCAAGACAACGACATGGCTCAGCATGGTAACTAAATAGGTAGCTAGGTTTACTTTTTCTTCATTGTGTTTTTTTATACTTTCCAAACATCTGTATGAATGAATCCTTCTAAACAGTCATACATTATAGGGAAAAGATTATCATGAAGAAAAAGCACTTTAAATGCATTTATTATGCTACAGTATATCGC